TCTGGACGCGAAACGGTTGGACAGGTAACTAAGTAAATTGAGTTGGAAATTTATCTTTACAATATTTGTAGACATGAATAGAATAAGAGAGAGAGAGGAGTGGGAGAGAGAAAGATTTAAAAAATGAGATAGATAGATAGATAGATAGATAGATAGATAGATAGAACAGATGAGATAGATAATGAACAGACTGAGATAGATAGATGAAGATAGATAGATAGATAGATAGATAGATAGATAATGAATAGATGAGATAGATAGATAGATAGATAGATAGATAGATAGATAGATAGATAGATAGATAGATAGATATGAATAGACTGAGATAGATATGAATAGATGAGATAGATAGATAGATAGATAAGATAGATAATGAACAGAAATGAATAGACTAAGATAGATAATAGAATAGATAGGGATAGATAGATAGATAGATAGATAGATAGATAGATAGATAGATATGAACTGACTGAGATAGATAGATAATGAACAGACTGAGATAGATAGATAGATAGATAGATAGATAGATAGATAGATAGATAGATAGGCTTATATGTATATATATTTCTTCTAATGTCTTATAACATGTGGGTGTATATTTAATTCTTGTGACATTTCTGCAGAATTTGACTCGATGTCAATTTCCAGAAATTTATGCCAATTTCATTTTTCGCTGGAATCCAAATTACTTACCTGCTGTTTTCTCATTAAAAGAAAATATGGAAAGAAATTTTCAATAACTTAAATTGGAATTCAAGATGGCGTTTAATATCCCCTCGCACGCATATTAATCGCCTTTGGCACAAATTGAAATCAAACTGGGAATATTTGAAATTGCATCCAACTTGTGTGAACGCAAGCGTGTATCCTTTTAGTAGATCAAAAAGCTTTTGTCCGAAAAGAATGAATGTTCCTCCGAGAAATATCCGGGGGTAAACAGGTTTTAAGTACGAAATAAAATGAATCTTGCATTTGAATTCCTGGGATAAAGATTTATCGTATGTATTGTCCATTGATCCGGGTCACATTCTGCCTAAACGTTTGAGCTCTTGCTGAACTAATCTGTTGCTCCAGTCTTTAAGAACTCAGGTCAACAATTCAACCATTCTGATCCAATTATCGGCCGTCCTGGGTATGGCGATAAACTACATCCGCGTCCAGGGTAAGACGATAAACTACGTCTAACAGCAAGGCCTCTGATCAGGAGGTTTTGAGGAGCGTGGAACCACCTCTTAATATCTGGTGTTCCCAGGTCCGCCCTGATACGTATTTTGTACGCATATTTTGTACGTATATTTTATACGCATATTTTGTACTTATTTTGTATGTATATTTTATACGTATATTTTATACGCATATTTTGTACGTATATTTTGTACACACTGCAATACACAATCTCCTCTGGAGAAAGATTATTTATTTAATTTTGGTTATTTCTTTTACATTATTAAAGCTTCTATAGCAATATGAAATACTCAGAAGGATTCTGCTATTCCTTGATTTCAAATGATAATCGCTAGACACAAGTGATGTAGAAATTTGTGGAATAATATAGAATATTAAGGAGAGTTCTACAGAACTAAAAATCTTTTTTGTCACCTGATCTCCATTGAAAGCCAAGAAATTCCAGTGGGGAAAATCATATAATATAGAATACTGAGGAGAGTGCTGGAGGGCTAAGAAGACTTGTTGTCACTTGATCTCTATTGAAAACTAGAACATTCTGGTGATGGAGAAATTCATATAATAATATAGAATACTGTGGAAAGTGCTGGGGATTGATGAAACTTCCTGTTACTTGATCTTCAGTGTAAACCGCCAGATATCAATAATGGGAAAGTCATATAATAAATCTAGAATACTGAGGAGAGTCCTGGATGATTGAGACTTGATGTCACTTGATCTCGAAGTGATGTTTCAACTGAATTGAGTCAAATATGGTGACTCAAAAATAGATATTCCCTATTTTTTCTAGGTTCCATTAAGACGTCCGCAGTGCTCCATACTTTCGGCCTTGTGCCACACTCTAATCTACGCTTAGTAAGCCAACTTTAAGATGCCCGTATGTAGTAGATAATAAGTTTATAGCCTAACGCAAAAACATATACTGTTTTTCATCTGAAATGTTCACTGTGTCGAGGGAAATTAATATTCACCAACGGATTAAGTGCATTGACAAAGTATAGCTGGGCACGAGTATTCGTAGATATCCGTCTACTAAGGTGGCTAGCCAATCCCTATTGCAGATGCTTGCTCAGGCGCATTTGTGTTTATTCAACGCCCACAGAGCACACATAGGGCAACTATGCTGAGCAGACCTTAGTTACAGTTTCTGGGAAAGAGGGTGTTATCTAGCGTGAACAAGGCTCAACCTCTCGGCCACGATGACTTGTGACTTCGTGCTAGCACAGCTATCGACGGGCCCACAAGGGTTCCGTCTCCCCAATTTCACTCACAAGGCTTGGGTCAACCCGTCGTATGGTTTTCAGGCACTTTCCAAAGATGCCGCATTCTGGGATCCTTCATGGTGAAATTCGAACCCTGGGTCTCATGGTCAGAATGCGAAAGCTCTAACCACGAGGCCATGTGCCCATATATTGTTTTTTCCTAGACTGACTGAGAGCCAAGGCTTAAGAGCCTCGCCTACTTTACTATTTAACCCATATCTGGGGGAGGATAAGAGATAGATTCATAAGTTTCTCAAGGGTATTTGCGCGTAAGTGAATGTAGCAAAAATTTAGAAGATACCTAAATATATGTTTTTCGTTTTTTTCTTACAATGATGTTAACCTTGTACAAGCCCCAAAAGCCACTCGAGGTAGAGGATTACAGATTAAGAAACACAGGTTATGCAGATTTGCGTTGATGATAACGATTAACCTTAGATTTGAACAGATTAAGATTTTAGTGATCGGGGAAGCATCCTCTTGGGAGTCGGTTCCATTAAACTGCTCGAGTGGAAATTACATCTCACCAGATGAATACGAAGGGATTAGCGATAGAGCAGCGAGAAGTTTACGATGTTTAGTCTGTGGGAAAGAGGTTGTAGAATGGAAAATAATTCATCACCTATAAGGACGCGAATACGCTTTTGTACTCTATAGAACGTGGAAAGTGCAGACTGGGCAATTGAGTAAAATAAATCCATTCTTTTCCCCCTTCTTTAGGCTACAGACTAATTGATCTGCCTACGTGAAGAAAGTTGGATAGTCTCCCTCCCACACCAACACACCTGAGAATCGCAGTAATCCAAATAATAGTGATAATGATGCTCGTCAGAATAATTCAAGAAATAATAATAAATTTTAAACTAGATTATAATTTGAAAAATCGAAATCAATGCAACAACGATGAGGATACAAACAACAAAGATGAAGATACACACTCGAATTCAGGCGGGCAAAATATTTTGAAAAAAACGAAAGATGTGAATGTTGTCTAAATAATCTCAAAATGTCTTCGAATACCGGAAAAGGCCCAAGAACGTATCGGCTGAGTAACACAAGAAAGATAGGGATGTTAGTTTAAATAATTTAGGGAATAATAATAAGAACATGTAATAAAATTGAAGAAGGCCGGAAAACATACCGGCTGAAATATACTGATTAACACAAAAAAGATAGGGATGTTAGTTTAAATAATTTAGAGAATAATAATTAATAACATGTAATAAAACTGGGGAAGGCCGGAAAACATACCGGCTGAAATATACTAATTAATACAAAAATGTGGATATCCGTCTATATAATTTATGGAATAATAATAAGGCATCATCTCAGAATGTGTAATAAAACTGAGGAAGGTCGGAAAACGTACCGGCTGAAATATACTGATGAACACGACAAAGATGGGATGTCGGTCTACATAGTTTATCAATATCAGAAAATAGTGTTTATTTATCTAAAATAAATGAATAAATAAAAATAATTAAACCACGATTTGGGTGTAGGGTGTGGGGGTATTTCTAAAAAAAAATCGATTATTTTCCGGCTGGTGTAATCAATACAGATGTACAAAATTGATTTCTGATAGCGAATGATTTTATTTATTTTGCGTGACGTCGCGAAACTCCCGATGAACAATCTGACCAAAAAAAAAAACGAACGAGCCGTTTAATTGAAGCCGGTTGTCATTGGCGACCATCACGTGACATCTTCTACAGAGATTGTAGATTCGTTTGTATATGGAAGAACTGAATACACATTTGTATCTTCTTTATTTTTCTTTCTTTTTTTTTTTTTTTTTTTTTTTTTTTTTCATGGTAACCCAAGAACGGTCCGCAAATATACGAACAGATCTCGCATCAGAAGATGTATTCCCAGCAAGAAAGGCCTGCGAGTAATACGATTCTGCGAAATAAATAGATCGATAAAAAAAAAAAACCTTGGGGAATATGTGGGGTCTGCATCTACGCTAATGGATTCAAATTTATTGCCGAATAAGGTTTAAGAAATTTCTTTTCACGAGTACCATTAAATAATATCCTGAGTACCCGACGCTCCTAAATAAAGTTTTATTTAATTATTAAAACGGTGGTGGGGTAGCGGTTCGGAATACGAAATCGGGGAGCCGAGTTCAAATTCCAATCAAGTTCGCTACGAAAGCTATGAATCCATACCTTATCCTCCCCCAGATATGGGTTAAATAGCAGGGTAGACAAGGCTCTTAGCCTTGGCTTTCAGTCAGTCCAGGAAAAAACAAGCTGTTGCAGCAAAATCCGACACTTGACAAAAAACAAAACGAAATAGGCAATAGAAATAACAGTTGTATATACAGAGACCCGACAGTTTATTTAGCAACAGTTAGAGTTACATACTACATTATTTTTCAATGTAACCGTCGCTGGCGGCGACGACCATCTCAAGGCGGGCGCGAAATGAGTCACACGCTTTGGCGACCATGTCCTTGTCCATAGCGGCGAACGCCTCCACGATGGCAGCCTTCGGAGAGTCGACCGTGTTGTGGGCGTGCTTCTTGGTCTTGGCCTCGATCACGACCCAGAAGAAATAGTCAAGGTATTTGCAGTCGAGTGAGGAGGGCAACCACAAGTCCGACAACCAGTGGTGAGGAACATTGTTGAGCAGCCTCGGCTGGGTCGTTTTGGCCTTGTGTGCAGAAGCGGAGTCTTGCTAGAAGACGTAGGGGCGTCCGGCGGCGATCTCGTTCATCCAGGGCTTCACCACGTTCCTCGGCACCTCCTGGTAGATCTCAGCGGTAACTCTCAGGCCCTTTTGAAAGAAGACGTCCCCCCTCGCTGGAGATGACGCCAAGAACCATGACGGAGAAGGGAAACTTCGTACGCTTCACATCGGGAACCTCATCGATGTCTTTTGCAGATCCACCTGTCGTCCTGCCTGTTGCTCGTCTGGTCCTGGATGAAATTCTTTTCATCAGAGAAGAACCTCAGCAGCCCGGTGGACCCATACTTGAGCTCGTTCAGCGAAGCCGCCGCCTTGATCTTTCCCGACTCCTCGAAGGCATTCGTGATGAGCATGCGGGGTGACTTGCGTTAGGAGGAGTAACCAATCTCCTTCCTGATCGTTCGGCAGATCGTCGACTTGTGACAGCCCATGTCAGCGGGGATCTTGGCGTAGCTCTGGCTTCTATCATTGTCGACTGTCTCTCATGACGTCGCCGAAGAACGAATGCTGTGGTCCTTTCGTTTGGCAGTAAACTCGTCCTTGTTCTCACACGCCTTCCACTCCCTCCTAATGTCCATGACCATTGTCCTCTTGAACCTAAACCAGGCCATCACTTACGCAGGCTTCTTCCCGACGTAAACAGAAGCTACCACCGATGCTCTGCTCTCATATTCCATCCTGGAAAAGGGTAGAATGAAAAACGTTAGTTAGTTGTCAAACTGTCGGGTATCTGCATATACAACTTTTGTTTTTATTGCCTATTTCGTTTCCTTTTTGTCGGATTTTGCTGCAACACCCTGTATATATATATATATATATATATGTGTGTGTGTGTGTGTGTGTGTGTGTGTGTGTGTGTGTGGAAAATATATAGAAAATAGGAAAGAACTCGTTAGGTAAATAATCCAAAGTTCTTTAGTATTTTTGTTATTATTTTAAAAAAAAATAGTGCTCGATACAAAAGTAGAGCATAAATATAATTATTTATTTAAAAATATGATTCCAACACGCTACATAATTTAATTCAATTTAATTCAAATAATTATATTGAAGTTTTCGGCTCTTGTTTTGAAACATGAGAACTCTTATGTAGCGTGTTGGAATCATATTTTTGAATAAATAATTATAAATAAATATATATATATATATATATTTAAAAAGATTTTCTAAAAAAGAAAAATTTCAAAAATAATTTCATTCATTTGTGAATAAGTCTTGAAAGTTTCATTAAAAGCTTTTCTAATTAAATAATGTTTTAGTTTTATTGATTTTTTTTTTAATTTTACGATTCAGAGCAGATTTTTGATAAATGAGTAACTGTTTGAAAAAAAAATTGATGATTTAAATTCTCCAAAAATTTCGGCACGTTTATGCACGCCCCAAAAAATTCTAAATTCGTTTTACTGAGGGGTGGGGAAGTCGCTGAATTGTAGTAAGCTTTTCCATATATGATTAGTAAATATAGTTTTTACTTTCTAACTGAACCTCTACAAACTAATACAGAATTTTAAAAGATTTTAAAATATTGTAAACTATTTTAAATTTCTTTATAAATAAAAATAATTCTTGTAAAAATTTGTTACTCATCCAAAAACATTTGCACTAGTGTTCACAATATATTTTATTCATAAAAACAATTAAAAGTTTTTTCTAATTAAATAATGTCTTAGTTTTACATAAAAAACAATTCTAATAGTATTTTTTAAAATGCTGATTGTCGATTAATAATATTCTTTTTTCATTTATGAACAGTAAATACAATTTTAATTTAATAGCAATATCACGTAACCGCTATAATTAATAAAAAAAAATTTTAAAGATTTTAATGTTTATAAATTAAAATAAAAAACATGAAAGCAGTTCTTGTAAAAATTTATTATTCATGGAAAAAAGTACTGGCCATAATAAACAGTAGCGGCCATAATATAAGGAACGGAAACAACAAAGACATAAATATGTATATTACTTAAAAAGTAATGCATGATTAACAATGAAATTTTTACCGAATAAAGATTAGAGTGTAATGCATAAATATTATACAAAGTTACAAAAATTTACATAATAGTTTTTTTTTTCGCTTTGAAATGAGAGGCTTCGAAGCTAGAATACGGGCATGAAATCCTCCATTTTTTAACCTGCGAGCAACCGTTTTCCTTGAGATCTTATTATCTGTCTCTTCATTAAATTTACGGGCAATTGATGTAGCAGTTTCAAAACGGTTTTTTATAGATATTCTAACAATTCTTCGATCTTCTCTTTGCGATGTTTTTGGAGGTCTGCCTGTTTTTGGTTTTGCATCTAACATTTTTATCGGTTTTATACCTGCTAATTACACGATGAACGACACTTTTAGACCTATGAACAATATCAGAAATTTCTGAAATTGACTTTTTTTCTTGATAGCGATAATGAATTTTTTTTTTCAAAAGAAAGCGTTTTGCGTGTAGAATTTGCCATATAGCTTGAAAATAAAGTCCTAATGATAAATTAACTTTTACTTATTGTTGAAAAGCCCCATTGAGATTTTTAACAATGTAAATTAAAAGTTTATGCAAATTATTAACATCGTTCCTTAACTTTTGTCCAGTAGCTTATTTCCTTTGTTCCATTCAATCTTTATTTTAAAAAAAAACTATTATGTAAATTTTTGTAACTTTGTATAAGATTTATGCATTACACCCTAATCTTTATTCGGTAAAAATTTCATTGCTAATCATGCATTACTTTTTAAGTAATATACATATTTATGTCATTGTTGTTTCCGTTCCTTATATAATGGCCGCTACTGTATATTATGGCCAGTACTGTATATTATTTGTTAAAGCAATTAATTATCTTTTTTAATTAAATAATGTCTTAGTTTTAATACATTTTTAATTCTGCTATTCAAAATAGAGTTTTCTATAAAAGATTTCCTGTCTCTGACCTCAAAGGTCAAAATATGGAAGTCAGAGGAGAAATACAATTGTCTAAAAAATAATAGACTGCTAAATTATTATTACGTTAAATAATCCTTACCTAACTATAAAAAAAAATCAATTTGCTTGCTTTTATTTTTGTTTTTGTTGATGGCTATTAGGCAGGGAAACAGATGGAGATGCTCGCATAAACAACTTGGGTTGACTCCCCCAGATATACTGTTGTATTGCCCCCTCTCTTTTGGGGAGGTCTGCATTCTTCTCTTTGTCATCTTCCTTGTTAGAAGGTGGTGCTGGCTGACAACCTTGAGGTGATCTTGATAAAGTTGTCTTTTTCTCTTTCTTCTCCCGCCCGGGTGATTGCTAGTTTCTGGTTCGGAGTTAAGATGAGAGACATCAATAAAGAGAATTTTAAACTTATCTACTTTATTAAACACATCGACGTGTACATTTTAACTGGCCAAGTGAAGTTGCCTATCACCCCCACTGGGAAGCAAGTTCCCCAGGACACGAAGTAACCACGTCTGATCTCTTCGACATGCAAAAACTTACTCACTATAATAAAGTTTTATCTCTCTAACCTTCCTACGCTAGTTTTAACAAATCAAAAAGGACTTCCTTTGTTTTGTCTAACATCTGACCTCAAAGGTCAAAATTAGGAAGTCAGAGGAGAAACACAATTCCCTAAAAAATAATAGATTACTAGACTGTTATTTAGCATTCCTTACCTAACTTTCAAAAGAACTTCATTTATGAATTTTATTTCAACCACATTATATTTAACAGTATATGTTGAGCCTCTAGGAATAAAGTGTGACACGGTGACACACTAACGTTCGCATTTATTATATATATATATATATATATATATATTTAAGCAAATATATGGATATAGATCCGACAGTATGAAGAAAAATATACTGAAAAAACAAACAAAAATCCTAATATGCGATTATGCTGTTTTAATGTTTAATGTCAACGTCGGACGTTTCGGACTAATAGACCATCTTCAGGACATATTGATAAAACATAATTAACATAGACCATATACAATTCAACATGAAAAAGTCGATGGACATAAAAGCAATACCAATCCAAACAGATAACTGAAATCTTTTTAAGATCAGCGTTCCGTTTAAATATGATCATATATATATATGTGTGTGTGTGAGTACTCAGAGGCGACAGGCTGTTTGATGCTAGACGTAACCGTCAGGCCGACGATTACGTCTAGCATCAAACAGCCTGTCGCCTCTGAATGTTAACTTCAATGTTCACTTTTATATTTATATTTACATACGCTGTATCTCTGATATTGAGCACTTTATCCCATAAATATATCACACCTTAAAACTATATTTCTTCATATATATATATATATATATATATATATATATATATATATATATATATATGTATTATATATATAAAGGGTGTTCCATTAAGGTGGATCTAAGTCAGTAGTAAATAATTCACTGTTATTGGTGAAAATTTATTTATTGGATCATGTTATTTAAGTCATAATAATTATGTGCGAAAAATAATACCGCCCAAATGTCCGCCAAGGCTTCGGCGGCTCACCTCCACTCGATAGTTGCTCCTTGATCTCACCAATATGCCATATTATCTCATCCTTCAGCTGTTGAATTGTTGTTGGCTCGTTGGCATAGACCTTACTTTTGAGATGACCCCAAAGGAAGAAATCTAAAGGCGTCAAGTCGTACGATCGTGGTGGCCAATTGACTTCGCTGTTTCGAGAGATGATGCGATTTGGGAACTTCTTATTCATTAAAGCCATTGTTGCATTGGCTATGTGGCGCTGTCCTGTTGGAACCCCAAATCTTTGACATCCATAGCATTCAATTCAGGCCAAAAATTGTCAAAGACTTAAGTTGTTAAATCTGAAAGAAAAAGCAAAAAAAATAGACGCTTTAACTTAATTCACATTTAAAATCGGTCCAAGTTATTGGAACAGCCTTTGTTTTAGGCTTAATTCTCAGGTGAGAGACCAATAACTGACGAATAATATTTGAGACGGCTCAATTAAAATCCTTTTAAGAACATGAAATTCTCAATCTTCAACTTAATTGAGATGATATTTAATATTTACCACATCACAGCTACAACTAATATCTCATATTCCAAATTTTGCGACCGAATACGTAGAGAGATTAACATCAACAGACTTGAAAAACATCTCTCTTGAACTTTTTTATGCTCGCCATTATTCTCTTCAAAGTCACTCATACCATTGTACCCTACTTTCTTCCGGGATAAACGATATTTATCCGCCATTCTTATTGACAAAATTCTGCCCACCTTTGACATATGTAAAAGTACATAATTCCACGCATAACAATTTATGAACAATTTTTTTCCAATTGCATTCTTGAAACTTTAACTCGTTGTTTGATTGTTAATCTTTCATGGTTGAAATTGCCAAAGACTTAAGTTGTTAATTCTGAAAGAAAAAGAAAAAAATCATTAGACACTTAAACTTAATTCACATTTAAAATCGGTCCAAGTTATTGGAACAGCCTTTATATATATATATATATATATATATATATATATATATATATATATATATATATATATATAACGTCATCCACAGACAGACTGTTTCGCAGCTCATCAGTGTGGCTAGACATCCGGTTGCTTCTAGCTAGGATCGAAACCCGACTGAATTGGTGTCAGTCGGAGATTCTAACCATTAAGTCGTCAGGATGAAAGTCTAACCATTAAGCACGGTAGGGATGAAAGTGGATTTTTAGCGTATTTATTTTTAGAAACACGCTATATATATATATATATATATATATGGGAAACGATATATAATTTTTTTATATATCAAGAACGATTTTTAGTGAAAGATATATGATGACAAAGTGTCAAAAGTTTTCATGTAGCACGTTTGTTTATGTTGGTACGACTACGCATGCGCACGAACGGGAGGCGCTGGGAATTTCATTTTTTTTATGCGTTTTACCTATATAATCTATCCGATTTCATTTATATTCGTTTTCTTTTGTTTATGTTTCTACCACATTTGTTATTAAATAACCCACATTGTGTTAATACCATTAGGAAAGGCATGAATCCTCTTCTTCTCCTCCCCCCACTCCAGCTATGGGAAAATAGCAGGGCAGAACGAGTTCTATAGCCTTGGATGGCAACTGGTCTACCGCACAAAGAAAAGGCAACCTACAGCGGGGAAAAATCTGCCTCGTCAGTCATGTATCGAAAGATACATGATCGCCTAAGCGTTTATCACGCATGGCAAATAACTGACTGACTCTTTACATATATATTTCGGCAAATTCCTAATTACTAATTTCCAACTGACATAAAACGGCTTATTTAGCAGCAGGGGAAAGTCGCCAAAAGTCTTAACAGACATTCCTTGTTTGTTTTATTGAACAAAACATTTATAAATGAAGGTTTACTGCCTAAGCATTCTATTTTATGATATATATATATATATATATATATATATATATATATATATATATATATATATATCCACAGACAGACTATTTTTTTGTGTCAATGTGGCGAGATATCCGATTGCCTCAAGCCAGGATCGAAACTCGACTATATTTTATTTTATATGTGCAGTACTTAATGGAAAGCGCTCAAAATCAGTGATAGAGCTGACATATTCAGTTATATGTATATGAGTTTGTGACACTGCGTATACCTGTGTGTGAGAGTGTCATCTCGATCAGGGTGTGTGTGTGTTGTGTGTGTGTGTGTGTGTTGTGTGTGTGTGTGTTATGGTCCGGTTCCTTGTACCACGGTGATAGTCCAAGGTAGAACCAATAAAGAAGAACTCGAACGCGGATATGGAATAACACAGATATATTACAAACAGGAATATATACAGAGAGGTAGAAAAGTGTTAGTACGAACAATCAGGTTTAGAAGTAATTGTCTGAACGCGACTCAGTTTCGGACTGCCTCTGACTCGACGGACTGACTCGTTCGCTCTGACTGACTGACAGACTCCTGACGGACTTCACTCCAGACTTCAGACTTCACTCCAGACTTCAGACAGAACTCTAGACTTCAGACGGAACTCCCTGGTTCCTCTTGAGGCGCAGTATTTATTACGTATGGAATACTCCATTATGTTATTATAGGTACGGTCCCATAACACTGTGTGTATCTATGTGTGTGTGTGAGAGAGAGAGAGAGAGTGTGTCATCCCGAATAGGCTCGGAGGGAAATTCCCCCTCCCACCATTAAACATAGTCAAACAAGCATAAAGTGATCCAGTTTTAAAAAAATAAACTAGTTTTTCTGATGATCGCAAAAGCGTAGAACCAAAGGTCGCAAACTCATATCCATACAACTGAATATATATATATATATATATATATATACCGGATGTAATAACAAAAGTGTGGTCAGTCTCCTTACGGTAAGCAAGTAATGCATTTGATGCGTTGTTTTGTAAAATATCCCTCTTGTGTTCATATAATTGTTTATTTACACTCCTTGAGGTTTCTCCTATGTATTCCTTGTGGCAATCATTACAGGGGATAAAATAAGTTTCTCCTTCAAGTTTTAGCCTGTTATTTTGTTTTGTATTAATTAAATCCTTTATTCATTTGGACGTAGTTTTGACAAATTTTATGTCCAGCATAGATGAATTCTTTTCATATAGTTGTGATAGAGTTTGTAGGGACATTATTATTATTATAAATAAATAAAAAATAAAACATATACTATAGATAAAATAAAATGAAACAAATAACATAAAAACGTTGTTTAAAATAAATTAAATAAAAAATAACAAAAGTTCTCCCAGCATGCCACAGAAACTGTTCCTGTACGGAAAACGGATATCCCGCCAAAAGACGTTGAATTCAGTCTTTTCGCTATCGAACTTTCAGGATTCCACGCGTTCAACTTCTCTCTCCGGACATGGTGTATAATAATACGAAGTGACTCCTTCCTTTTATCACATGCAACCTTAAAATCACTTCTAACCAAAAATACACACGCCAGTACACTGAATAAATAAATTTTATGATATTCATGTACAATTTAATCTGCCTTTAGTGTTATTTCTGTGTATGTTTCTTTTTTTTATTTCTGTGAAGTATGTTTTTATTTCCTGTGAACACGGGGCTATTTCTGCTGCTCTGATGTGAATGACCCCATAAGTTAAAACCCACTAACTCTAGCATTATTTTGGATTATTATAAACGCTGTAATGTTATTTTTTGTGGGCATGCTTATTTGAGTTGCTATCACTGTTTATTTATTTTCTTAAATAGTGACATTAATAATAACGGGCCTAGATTGTGGAGTCCGACTAACGAATGATTGTGGCTCCAACAGGAATCGAACCTTTACCCCTTTTTGATCAGGGATAGTTTCCATAGCTAGCATATATAGCTTCGTATGCCAGCGAGAAATGTTCATTCTTTAAACAGCTAGCAAAAACTTTGATGTGCTGCGCAGTTGTCGTAGCCGAAATGCTAAAGGCACGTTTGGGATCTAGAAAAGCAGGAATATCATCGCAAATATGTATGGCCACTAAAAAAAAATAACGTTTCTAGCAATGAGAAACAATGTTGTATAATTGCATGTATAAGAAAATTAAGGGAAAATTAGTCTTCACATGAAAAGTCAGATAGATAGATATGACAAGACATCCATAGATATATAGATAGATATGACGAGACAGCAATAGATAGATAGATAGATAGATAGATAGATAGATAGATAGATAGATAGATAGATAGATAGATGAACAATTGAGATAGATGATAGATAGATAGATAGATAGATAGATAGATAGATAGATAGATATGAACAGATGAGATAGATAGATAGATAGATAGATAATAGATAGATAGATAGATAGATATGAACAGAGTGAGAGATAGATAGATAGATAGATGATAGATAGAGAGAATATGAACAGGAGTGAGATAGATAGATAGATAGATAGATAGATAGATAGATAGATAGATAGATAGATAGATAGATAGATAATGACAAGACATCCATAGATATATAGATAGATATGACCAGACAACAATAGATAGATAGATAGATAGATAGATAGATAGATAGATAGATAGATAGATAGATAGATAGATGCTTCGTGTTGAGGTGAAGTTAACGAAATGAAATATCGCAAGTTAGCAAAACCTGTTTAAATATTAATAAATTCCATGTGTTTAGCTGCCATAATAGACGTGCCTGTCGCCCGTGATTGTCTTCTAACAAAGGGCGTGTTGTTTAGATCGTTTCTTGTTGAAAATCGTCCGATTTGACAATAGGAGATTATTGCCTTTTTAAAGAAACGAAAGCTTCAAACACTTGAAGGAAAATCTAATCGCAAATACGAATTGACATTTCGCGAAAACATCTGCTATACTTTCAAAATAATTAATGAATAAATACGTCTTGAGTTGACGGAGAGAGATTGATAGATAGATAGATTTGAACAGACTCAGATAGATAGATAGATAGATAGATAGATAGATAGATAGATAGATAGATAGATAGATAGATAGATATTAACAGACTGAAATAGATAGATACACAGAAAATAGATATGAACAGACTGAGATAGATAGATAGATAGATAGATAGATAGATAGATAGATAGATAGATAATGACAAGACATCCATAGATATATAGAAAGATATGACCAGACAGAGATAGATAGATAGATAGATAGATAGATAGATAGATAGATAGATAGATAGATAGATAGATAGATAGATAATGACAAGCCATCCATAGATATATAGAAATATATGACCAGACAGCAATAGATAGATAGATAGATGAATAGATACTGAAGATAGATAGATAGATAGAAAATAGATATGACCAGACAGCAATAGATAGATAGATAGATAGATAGATAGATAGATAGATAGATAGATATTAACAGAATGAAATAGATAGATACACAGAAAAAGATATGAACAGACTGAGATAGATGAGATAGATAGATAGATAATGACAAGATATCCATAGATATATAGAAAGATATGACCAGACAGCAATAGATAGATAGATAGATAGATAGATAGATAGATAGATAGATAGATATTAACAGACTGAAATAGATAGATACACAGAAAATAGATATGGACAGACTGAGACGAACGAAACAGTTTTAAATGAACTTAACGAAATATTTAAAAAAAAAAACTCGTAAATTTCCGAACAGCCTGAAAAAGATTTATACAGAAAATCAATAAATGAATATTTATTTTAAAAGTTTTATTTCTGCTTTCAGTAGACAGACGACTCCATGAACGGACACACACGTAATGGAGATGGGTTCCAGGTTATTGAAATTTTAGTTTTCATTTCACAAAAGTATACCGTATATATGTCTGCTGTAAATCAAGAGTTGGCATACTGTTGTCATGTGCTCGATTATTTTTGAATTCTCCACAACTGCAGCCTTGTACCTGACTAGTTAAAATACATTTATTCGTTTATATCCCTAATATTTACAAGACATGGGTCGTCGTACCTCTGCAAAAACTTTTGTTGCTTCTTTTTTTAATCATTTCAACTCAAGACAATAAAATCATTAAAAAGCAGGATTTGACGTTTACAGGGGGGGTCCTGTAATGATTGAAAGCAAATATTTTGGATTAATTGGTACTTTTTTTAAAATCAGGATCACCCTAAGCAAGGCAGTAAAGGGGTGTGGAAGAATTAGGAACAGAAACAATAATGATAGATAGATAGATAGATAGATAGATAGATAGATAGATAGATAGATAGATATGGAAAAAAGTAAGATAGATAGATAGATAGATAGATAGATAGATAGATAGATAGATAGATAGATAGATAGATATGACAAGAAATCCATAGATATATAGATAGATATGACCAGACTGCAATAGATAGATAGATAGATATAGATAGATAGATAGATGACCAGAGATAGAAATAGATAGATAGATAGATAGATATAAGACATCCATAGATATATAGATAGATAGATGCAATAGATAGATAGATAGATAGATAGATAGATAGATAGATAGATGAACAGACTCAGATAGATAGATATGGACAGACTGAGATAGATAGATGAACAGACTAGATAGATAGATAGATAGATAATGACAAGACATCCATAGATATATAGAAAGATATGACCAGACAGCAATAGATAGATAGATAGATAGATAGATAGATAGATAGATAGATAGATAGATAGATAGATATGAACAGACTGAAATAGATTAATAGATAGATAGATAGATAGATAAATAGATAGATATAAAAAGGAGATAGATAGATAGATAGATAATAGATAGATATATGAAAATAGATAGATAGATAGATAGATAGATAGATAGATAGATAGATAGATGAATAATGAACAGATATAGACAAAAATGTAGATTGCTGGTAGATATGACCAGACAACAATAGATTTAGATTTTTAGATAGAAAAATATATTGATATTAAAAGGAGTAAGAATAGATAGATAGATTTGAATTTAGATAGGAAAAATGTATCGCCATTAATTTTTTTTTTTTTTTTCAAAAATGTATTGCGGATAATATTTTTTTCCTTCAAAAAATTTATTGCTGGTAATAAAACCTATTTTTACCCTTTCATAGTTAGGGGTGGGGTGTAAACTACTTCCCCATAGTTTGGACCTTAACTGATGCAACCAACCCGGGTCAGGGTGGACCTGGGAACTCCACCTATGAAAACGTGGTTCCACGCTCCTCAAAACCTCCTGATCGGAGACCTTGCTGTCGGATGTAGTTTATCGTCTTACCCAGGACGCGAACTCTTGTACATCAGTTATATACTAGATTTATTTGAAACTATATGTCATTTTTATAATCCAAGATTAATCTATTATAATTTACAGGTGTGCGGGCACGTGACAGAAAGAGAGAGATCATATCTCTGTCAGTCTGTTACTGGTAATAGTAATATTACCGGTTCCTTATAAGGAATCCTTCGACGCTGTTGACCGAGTAGCCTGTGCTGCTGTTGGCTAAGATTTTTAAAATCTTTCTCTTGAAACATTTTTTCAGAAAAATAGGTTTCTCAAGTTCAGTAACTCTTTCCAGTATTTTCCGTGGACGTTTCTTTCCTATCCTTTTGTAGTGTGTAACGTAAATTATGTCATTAGAGACCCTTTTAGTTATTTTGATATTCATTTTAGTTGTTGCTGCTGTTGGTAGTCCTCAAATGATGTGTTTTCTGCAATATGGTACAGTTCTTTGTTTCTGTTTCTGTAGCGCCAGTCCACAAGGCTAAAAATTATGGTATTTGCCAAGACAAAGAAGCTTCACTCGCTAAAGTCATTTTTTAACCACTGATAATAGAAAGTGGTGCTGAATACAGCTTATCAAATAAGTTTCGGAAATTGAAATATCTGGGAAGTGTTTTAACAGAGGACGGAATAAACGATACG